CCCGCCCCACGCGGGGCCCCTGGCTGCTCGCCCCCGTCACCCCCCGCTCACCTGCCTGAGGATCTGAGCTGCCATCAGGTGACTGCAGTCGAAGATGATGCGGAATTCCCGGCCCCGCTTCATCTCCTTCAGCAGCGGCCGCGCGTCGTCGGTGTCCAGTGGGAGCTGCCGGATTTTCAGGCGGATGTTGTACCTCGACGGGGCCATGATGAGCTCCTGCAGCCGTATGAGGCCTTCAGACACCGCACAAAGACAAACCCACACAGCGTTACGGGGACGTCTGCCTCTGCCCTGCAGGCTGGGTATCACAGCGACTTATTTCTTCCTGCATTATTTCATGGAATGCAATCAAGACTTTCCTTTCTCCCGCAAATGCTAAAGGCGTATCAAAGCCAAGGTAGCATGTGTCAATCATTAAAACCCCAGATATTTGCAGAGCTGTTGTTCTAAGGCAGAACAGCTTTTCCTGGCATTTTCCTGCTGCCCCAGAATCCAGCTCTGATAGAGCTGGGGACCCTGTGCTGAGCAGAAGAGGAAAGTAGCAGATTGGCCCTAACCTTTGACAGCTCTGGGATCATGACATTTTTATTTAAGGAAACATGCCCTTGAAAAAGGACAGAATGTGATAATGAGCTATGCAACACATTTAAAATCTGCAGTATTTATCATGCGCAATAGCAAAAAGAACAAAAATGCACATGTGCTTAGGTTTACGAATAGGGTGGTTCGTGATGGTCACTTAATCACAACTTGGAAGTTTTCTTGCTGCCCTTAGAATTAATCTCTCTTTCATGCAGAAGGTAGAAAGCCACGCTGGATGCAGCTGAGCAGGGATTATTGGTATCTAATGCTGCAAGAAGAAATTCAGCAGATGCCTATTGCAAGGAGGAAAAGAGAAGCGTGTCCCTCTGCATAGCAGAAGAAATACATGAGGATATGCTGCGAAGGGAACATACTGTGACCCACATTTGGAAAACAGGAATGTCAAACTGTGTTCTCATCAGCCCTCCCCTAAAGAAACCATTTGGTTTAGTGGAATTAGGTTGGACAGGCTATCCAATGTGTCTTTTGTTTGGGGTTTTTTTTCTAATCTATAATGCTGTATGGTGCTTTGCTTTTGTTTAACCATCAACAGCTTTCTTTATGTGAAAAACTTTGTCAGCTATGTTTTATAGAATTAGCCAGAAAACAAAAAACTTTCCAGAAGCGCTTTTGCTTTTAGCTGGGAAACTGCAGCCTTGGTGGCGGCGCAGCCCAGGCTCTTGGCTTGTCGCGACAGGCACCGCGGTGCCAAGCGCAGCCGGGCTGAGCCAGATCTCACCAGAGCACCATTAACCCTCCCCCTGCCCCTTTGGCAGCTGGGGGTGTGGGGGGTCACCCCAGTTCTAAGTGCTTTGTGAACGAAACGCTTCAGAAAGGATCCCAGGGCCACCGGCAACGCTCGCCCGAACGCTGGGGAACCGGCCACTGCATGAGGGTCATTTTACTCCTAAAGGGGGTCATCAGAAAAGTTCCTAAATGGGACTCACAGCAAAAAAATCTCCTGGATCCCTTCTTTAAAGCCCCTCCTTTACCTACCTGTACTGTCATCGTAAACCACAGTGGCTGACCTCCACTTCAAATACTGCACGAGGTCCAGAATGGCGTGGCTGAGAGAAGCGTAGTCAGGATACAGGTTGACGTAGAAAGTGTCCTTGTTATCCAAAGGGTGGTGCTTCCATCGGAGCTGGATGTGCGGCACTTCCAGGGCGTTGCAGATCGACTGGACGGCGTTGGTGCAGGAGCCTTGGGAAGGTCCGAATATTGCCACGACCCCCAGGGCCAGCTGATCACAGGCTGGGAAAGGAGGAGGAAGAGGAGGAGGAGGAGAAGGAGGAGAAGGAGAAAGAGGAGGAGAAGCAGAAGGCGGAGAAGGAGCAAGAGGAGGAGAAGGAGAAGTAGAAAGAGAAGGAGAAGGAGAAAGAGAAGGAGAAGGAGAAGGAGAAGGAGAAGGAGAAGGAGAAAGAAGGAGAAGGAGAAGGAAGAGAAAGAGGAGGAGGAGGAAAAGGAAAAGGAAAAATGCTGTCAGTAACGGATGGGCACCTCTGCAGGACGGGTGTCAGAGCAGCTGTAGGGCTCCCCTTCTGTAATTGAAGGCTGCTGGTACCCAATAATTAAAAAAAAAAGGTTCTGAGGAAGAGAACAGAATATCTACGCTATGGATGTGAAAATTGCCGGGGATACAGTAAAATAAACAAAGGTATGGCCTACGGGCCTTCGCTCAGGATTAGAAGGAAGCACTGAAAGGAGTTTTGTGAGGTTTGGAGAGGGAAAAAAGAATAGTTGTTCCCCTTGTATTAAAATACCTCTGGAAGGTCAGCTCCTGGAGGGCATCTCGTCTAGATCGCTGACCCGAGCAGGACAGAATGAGCTGCTGGCTCTCAGGTGAAGCCGTGCCTTTGCTGCTGTTGCTGAACAAATGGCCAGAAAGGTGAGAAGAGGTGTGCTGTGCTCTTACCTTTCTTAGTCGCTTCAAAGCTGTCGTGGAAGTGTATCCTCTGAATGTCGTAAGATAGTGTCGTGTTGGGCAGCAAAGTTCTGTTTCTGTTAATAATATTGGCGGAAAATCTGAAGGCTTGCTCCTCAGCACTCATAACCTGGGTGTTGGGGCCATCGGCGTACTCAAAGATTCCCCCTGCAAGGCAAGGCGAAGCCAGCGCTCAGCCACAGAAGGTTCGACTCGTAATCTCATGCAGCAAGGAGGAGAAAACTCTTGGGCAGAGCTCTGACATTTGCAGGCTGACCAAGGCTTGCTCCAGGACATTTCCTGGGCTCAAATAAACACATGAAAACATTTGGGGTTTTGTTATATGCTGGTCCACAGAAGTGTTCGGAATACCCATTCTGCAGGGCGATAGGGGACAAATTTAAATTCCTGGAATATTTTTATGGGACAGACGAGTGGTTTCTCACAATGCTTTAGGATCAGACCTTGGGAAGCATGGGCAGGCTGATTGCTGCACTGCAGAGATGCCCTGAGGAGACACAGCCCTTCCCTCTGTGACACACCGGGCGCCTCGCCGCCTGGTCCGACCCCCCAGATCCTCACGCCAGCCGTGCACCATCGCTGCCTCCTGTTTTTAGTGTCCTTCTCATCTTTTATTGTTCCTCATGTTTAGTTATCCGAGTTCTTGATTCAGGCCAGCAGAGCCTCCTGAATTTGCCTACCCTACAGCTTATCTGCTCAATAATGCACATCCTGAATGCATGCTTTCCCGTGTTCAAAAGTTGTTAATGCCATTACACCTCCCCAAGGGCCACAAGCTCATGTCACAGGATCGCTGGGTTTCTTGGCTCGCGATGTGTGAGCCTTGTCCTCAGTTCCCTGCTGACAGCCTCTCTCATTGAAGTGACTTGGTGCAGGCGTAAATTATGTAATTACGTGTCCTTGCCTCTATCCGTGCCCTGATCGGAAAGACACGTAAACCTTGCTCTGTCTTATTAAAAAGTAAACCAGAATAATTAATGGATGAGTGAGACAAGCAAGCACAATTGGTAACAGATGGTCTCTGGGTTCATTAGCAGAAGGAAAATCTTCCTCTTCAGTTTAAGGTAGTCCTAAAATGTTTTGTTACAGACAACAGATGTCTACCCAGCCCTCCCAGCTTTCAAGCAACTGCACGAATCCTCCTCCAGGAGCCGGAACACATTATCTATAGGTTTTGTGGTGACGTGGCGTTCGCCAAGGGTGCCAGTTTGGCAAGGGCCCAGCTGGCATTTCTGGTGGGAGCCACGCTGCGTCCCCCCAGGAACCCGGCCGCGGGCTGAGCGGAGACAGGAGCGGCGCTGGGGGGTTTCAGAGCGAGGCTGCAAAGGAGGTTGCAGAAGGGCTCTGGCTTGCCTGCTCCCCGTGATCGTGGCGAGTGGCTTCCCTCCTCTTCCTCTGCAGACTGTGCATCTGCGTCCCCAGCTCTAAAGCCAGTGCGGCAACAAATTTACACTCGTGAACATCCAAAAGCGTTTGAGCTGTTCCCTGCGTGTCTCTGGTAGGAAAAGAGCAACGCTGTCATCAGTACTAACCTTGGTAACAGGGGGAAGAGTAAAGAACAAGAGGCCGAAGGCTCCTTCTGGAGACCCATTTCAGCCCTGTGTGATCTTTAGCAAGTCACTTGTGACCGAGTTGCCAACCTATAACGCCTCTCAGTGTAGGCAGGAGCCTAGCAGAGCTCAAACCAGGGCATCATGTGTCTCCTTCTCACTGGATCATGCTAAGGCGCAAGGCAAATTATTCATCTGTATCGAAGTTTACATACGCTGGTAGCTCAGTCTAAGTTTCTTAGAGCAGAGAAAGTTGATAAACACTATTACAGCAGAAACAATAAACAGAACTAAAGGGAGTGTGAGTTTCATCCCTGTCTGTCTGTTCAAAGCTTTGCTGTCCAGAACGTATTAGTAAGGGATTTTTTGTTTTCGAGCACCATCCTGAAGTGATAACTGGGTTCATGTTATGTTGATTATCAACAAGCTGACATTAGGCTTTGTCCTAGCCCAGAGCTTTCAGGGTTGCTTTGGAGCATGTCTTATTATGATAGAATATAGAAGGACTGGGTATGTGGATTATTGGTGCTTGATCCCAAATAAATTCACGTTCCAGACATCCAGCTGGATATAACAGGCTTTGTGACAGAAAAGAATTTTCTGTGCAGCCACCCAGTACCTTGAATTCAGTGCCAGGCAGTGCGAATGCAGACAGGCAGAAGTAATGCATTTCTGGTTATGCTGCTGGGTGCGGGATATATCGGGACAACGTGACATCTACTGCAGCTGCTCAGGTGTTGAAGAGCAGCTCTGTGCTCAGGAGCTCGGGGACAGGGAGCGTCTGGGGGCAGCTCCCGGCGATGGCGCTGCCGTCCCTCTCGGCTCGTGCGCCTCTCCTTCAGAGATGTTCAGTCTGATCATTATTTAAAGAGCCTAATAACCGGCTTGAAACGGCTGATTAATGCATAATCTTCATCATGATTACATAGCATAACTGGCATTAATTTGAAAAGCCGGCTAATTATGAAAATAATTGTTGCAGCTCTTCCATTTGAGCAAAATGGAGAATGTCAGCTTGGGCTGTTGGGAGGATGAGGGATGGGACATCAGCTGGCTGAGTGCCGGGCCGGGGGGGACCC